CTGAGCCTATTGGGCTCTATCATATCTACATTTGAAACTGTGTATGGAGTCAGCCTCCACCACATCACTGCCTAATGCATTCCATCTGTTAACTACTCTGACACTGAAAAAGTTCTTTCTAACGTCTCTGTGGCTCATTTGGGTACTCAGTCTCCACCTGTGTCCCCTTGTTCGCGTACCACCAGTGTTAAACAGTTTATCCTTATCTACCCTGTCAATTCCTCTGAGAATTTTGTAGGTAGTGATCATGTCTCCCCTTACTCTGTCTTCCAGTGTCGTGAGGTGCATTTCCCGCAGCCTTTCCTCGTAACTCATGCCTCTTAGTTCTGGGACTAGTCTAGTGGCATACCTCTGAACTTTTTCCAGCTTCATCTTGTGCTTGACAAGGTACGGGCTCCATGCTGGGGCCACATACTCCAGGATTGGTCTTACATATGTGGTATACAAGATTCTGAATGATTCCTTACACAGGTTCCTGAAGGCAGTTCTGATGTTAGCCAGCCTCGCATACGCCGCAGATGTTATTCTTTTTATGTGGGCTTCAGGAGACAGGTTTGGTGTGATATAAACTCCTAGATCTTTCTCTCTGTCCGTTTCATGAAGTACTTCATCTCCTATTCTGTATCCTGTGTCTGGCCTCCTGTTTCCACCGCCTAGTTTCATTACCTTACATTTACTCGGGTTAAACTTCAGTAGCAATTTGTTGGACCATTCTTTCAGTTTGTCTAGGTCATCTTGTAGCCTCCTACTATCATCCTCTGTTTAAATCCTCCTCATATTTTTTGCATCATCAGCAAACATTGCGAGGAATGATTCTATACCCTCTGGAAGATCATTTACATATATAAGAAAGAGTATGGGTCCAAGGACTGAACCCTGCGGGACTCCACTGGTGACGTCTCGCCAGTCTGAGACCTCACCCCTCACACTGACTCGCTGCCTTCTGTTATTTAGGTACTCCCTTATCCAATGGAGTTTTGCACTAGTCTCTGGTATGGCACTGTGTCAAAAGCTTTCTGGGAATCCAAAAATGTGCAGTCTGCCCACCCCTCTCTTTCTTGCCTGATTTTTGTTGCCTGGTCGTAGAATTCAATTAATCCTGTGAGGCAGGATTTGCCATCCCTGAACCCATGTTGATGCTGTGTTACAAAGTTCCTTCGCTCCAGATGTTCCACTAGCTTTTTTCGCACAATCTTCTCCATCAGCTTGCATGGTATGCAGGTTAGGGACACTGGCCTTCTCCATCACCAGCGACATTGGTGAACGACTGAATTACAGTCGTTCACTGTAATTCAGTGCCTCCTGTCTATCCCGCTTCTTGTATATCAGGACTACGTTTGCCATCTTCCAAATTTTTGGCACTTCCCCTGTTACCAGTGATTTGTTATTCAATATGGAGAGTGGCAGACACAGTGCTTCTGCTCCTTCCCTTAGTATCCAAGGGGAGATTCCATCTGGGCCTATAGCCTATGTCACATTCAACTCTAGCAAAAGCTTCCTTACTTCCCCACTGGTAATCTCAAACTCTTCTAGTGGTTCCTGGTTAACTATTCCCTCTCTTATCTCTGGAACTTCTCCTTGCTCTAAATGAAGACCTGGAATTTCTTATTCTGTTCCTCGCACACTTTCTTGTCGTTTGTAATGACTCTGTCTGCCCCTATCCTCAATTTCATTAACTGTTCCTTTACTGTTGTTTTTCTCCTGATGTGGCTGTGCAGCAAATTAGGTTGAATCTTTGCCTTGCTTGCGATGTCATTTTCGTATTGTCTTTCTGCCTCTCTTCTCATCCTGACATATTCATTCTTGACACTCTGATGTCTTTCTCTGCTCTCAAGTGTCCTGTTATTTCTATAGTTTCTCCACGACCTTTTACTTTGCTGCTTAGCTAGCCTACATCTTTGATTAAACCATGGGTTTCTCATTTTCATTTCTCTGTTTTCCTTTTGGACTGGGACAAACCTGTTTGCTGCGTCCTTACACTTCTGCGTGATGTAGTCCATCATGTCCTGGGCCGTCTTTTCCCCCGAGCTCTGTTTCCCATGTTATATCTGTTAGGAATTTTCTTATCTCCTCATAGTTTCCCTTTTGGAGTGCCAGTCTTTTGTTTTCAGTTCTCCTCCTCAAGTTCATTAACCCTTCTTCAACCAGATACTCAAACGTCAGTACACTGTGGTCGTTCATTCCTACCGGGGCCTCGAAACCGATTTCCCTTTTGTCGGAGTCGTTCAGAGTTAAGATTAGGTCGAGTTTCCCTGGTTCTTCGTTTCCTCTCACTCTTGTGGGTTCCCTGACATGCTGGGTTAAAAAGTTTTTTGTCGCCACCTCCAATAGTTTGGCTCTTCATGTATCCTCGCCTCCATGCGGTTCCTTGTTCTCCCAGTCTATCCTTTCGTGATGGAAGTCTCCCATGATGAACAGGTGGGATCTATTTCTACAGGCAGCAGAGGCTGCCCTCTCAATTATAGTGTTAACTGCCATGTTGTTGTTGTTGTCATACTCTTCCCTAGGTCTTTTGTCGTTTTGTGGAGGGTTATATATTACTGCTACTACTACTCTTGGTCCTCCCATCATCACAATGCCTGTTATGTAGTCTCCGAATCTCTCACAGCCCGGGATAGCCAGTTTTTTTTTAGTTTAGTTCATTTATTATGCACCCCATACCCATCTTGTGGGCGGTAGTGGAAAGGGTTACAGAGGCACATAATGGGCTCAGGGACTGAACCCCACAATTCATTTAGCTAAGCAAGTTACAATCTTGATGAGCCATCTCCTTGAAACTCCATTCCTTTCTCATTAGTAGGGCCATTCCGCCTCCTCCCCTTCCTTCCCTCTCTTTCATTATTACAGTGTAGCCCTAGGGAAACACTGCATTCATTATGATTCCAGAGAGTTTTGTTTCTGTGAGTCCTATTACATCTGGGTTCACTTCTTGTGCTCTTTCCCTTAGTTCACTTGCCTTGCTTGTAATCTCATCCATATTCAAGTACATCACCTTGAAACTGACTCTCTTCTGTCCTTTCTCGTTTCTGTTGATTCTCCTGTCGCAGGGGAAACAGGGAGGGTCTGGGATGGGAGGGCCTAGGAAGGGAAGACCTGGGGGATCTGGAGTGTGAGGGGGCTGGGAGGATCTGGTATAGGGAGGGTAGTGGAGGTGGGAGGGCTTGGGGGTGGGGAAGAAGCGAGGGCTTGGAAGGGGTGGCGGAGAGGGGGAGGCTTGGAGGGTGGGTGAGAGGCTTGGGGAGGTGGGGGAGAAGGGAGGGCTTGTGCGGGAGGGTTTGTAGAAGGGAGGGGCTTGGGGGGGGAAGAGAGAGAGGGACATGGGGGGAGGGTGCCATAGGTGGGCACTTGGTGGGGGGCTGGCAGGGGTTGGGGGTAGGTAGGAGGTCTATTGGGTGGAAGGTGAGGATGGTGCTCCTCTCACTGTGGCTGTTGAACTGCTTGTGGAGGGTTCCCCACTCCCTTCTGGGATTGTAGGGTTCAGGGTTGTGGTTCCCTGACTCCTTTCTTTCTCCCTGCGCTCTATCCTTGCGGCTATTGCCCTCATTCTCTCTTCCCTTGTCATATCCGCAGGAATACTTTTTTGAAATTCAGTACATTTACAAGTCCGCTCTTCCTTGCTAACAGGTCCCTTTGTGTTCTTGCTCGTGAATACCACCTTTATCAATAGGTCTCTGTCCTTGTTTTACTGCCCAAGCCTGGAAACCTTTTCAATATTCTGGTCAGCCCTCTCCATCTTTACCCTTTTAGGGATCTCATTAACTGCACTTTTGTTCTTGTCTCTCCACTCTGCTGGACTGGTCCCTGTTTGCTCTTTAATACTTACTATTACTACTGCTCTTTTTCACTCTATCAGCTGGCTAGTACATCTGGCTGCTCCTGAGAAGAAGCCACTTCCATGGCAACTTCCTTTACTGCAGACCTAGTTTCAGGGTTCTTTTTAAACAAGTCTGCAACTGAGGGTTGTATTGCAGAAGTCTCCTCTACAGGAACATTACCATCTCCCTGAGGGATGGTTCGTGTCTGGTATTGGGGAGTATTCTCTTTTAGGATTCTTATTTCCTCCTTTTGCTGCCTTCAGCTCATCCTGCAGGTTGGTCACTTTCTTACTCATTTCCGTCAGATCTTCCCTGAATCGACTCCACATATGTTCGATTGTATCCCTAATACAGGCATCCTGTCCCTCCTCTTCCTCTGAGTTTGATCCTACCATGTTTGTCTCCCTGTCATGTTTTTCCCCATGAGAGAGAGAGAGAGAGAGAGAGAGAGAGAGAGAGAGAGAGAGAGAGAGAGAGAGAGAGAGAGAGAGAGAGAGAGAGAGAGAGAGAGAGAGAGAGAGAGATAGAGAGAGAGCGAGAGCGAGAGCGAGAGCGAGAGCGAGAGCGAGAGCGAGAGCGAGAGCGAGAGCGAGAGCGAGAGAGAGAGAGAGAGAGAGAGAGAGAGAGAGAGAGAGAGAGAGAGAGAGAGAGAGAGAGAGAGAGAGAGAGAGAGAGAGAGAGAGAGAGAGAGAGAGAGAGAGAGAGAGAGAGAGAGAGAGAGAGAGAGAGAGAGAGAGAGAGAGAGAGAGAGAGAGAGTGTGTGTGTGTTGTGTGTGTGTGTGTATTTACTATTTGTATTTAGTTGTGCCTACAGATTCGAGCTATTAGCTCTTGGACCCCGCCTTTCTAACCAATCTATTTTCTTCTGTTATGTCTACTACATATATTTCTCCAACTCACACATATATACATAGGAAGCAGGCCGCAATAGCGGTCTAACTCCCAGGTACCTATTTACTGCTAGGTGAACAGGGGCATCAGGGGTGAGAGAAGCTCTGCCTATTTGTTTCCGCCTCGGCCGGGAATCGAACCCGTGCCCGAGGGACTACAACCGCCCCCCCCCCAAGTGCTATCAACTCAGTCGCGAGGCCCCCATTGTGTGTTTTGAAGGTTGTGTTACTGTGACGTGTGTTACTGTGACGTGTGTTACAGGGATGTTACTGTGACGTTCGTGTTGTGTTGCAGGTGGGGTCGTTGGAGGCGTCTCTGCTGGCAAAACGAGGCTACGAAGTCCACCTTTATGAATACCGCGATGGTGAGTACACACACACACACACACACACACACACACACACACACACACACACACACACACACACACACACGCACGCACGCACGCACGCACGCACGCACGCACGCGCGCGCGCGCGCGCGACTGAGTCATGTGTGGTCAGTCGTGGGTTGGGAGCTTCTGGGTTACTATTGAAGTGGGAGGGATAATCAGGCTACTTCGAAGTGCAAAAAAGTTTATACGAATGAATGAAAAACTCGGAATTTGACTCAAACCATAAGGAAGTGAAGAAAGAAAGTAGACATAGCATTACTGAAAATAGGTGTTGAAGGCATTGTGGCAGTGTGCAGTAGTGGAGCAGACCTCACGCTGACTGTGACCTCACCAGCCTCAGTCTGTGACCAGTGTGACCTCACTCTGGCAGGAACACTTAGTACACCTCGTGGGGAGACGCCTGGAGACTCACTCGCCTATATTGTGAATAGCAGATTGGTAGGGTAATTGGAACGCCTGTGGGTAAGGTGGTTTATAGCAATGACAAGATCAGGAAGGGCGTCTAGGTCCAGCAGTATTATGAATGAAGAAGAGGATAGACTTGTGGAGAAGCTGATAGGGAAATTTGTAGAGAAGAAGGATGTTTGGATAGAGGATCTAATCCAAGGGATTAAAAGTGAGATCTTTAATAAAATACAGGACGAGGTCTAGAGACAAAAACAAGAGCTTATGGACTATATTCAGGAAGAAATCAGAAAGAGCAGGGAAGCATGGGAAAGTGAAATAACTTGGCTTGCAACTGAATTTGGCAGGAATAACAGCATGTCAAGGGAAGGGGGAGTAGTAGGGGGATGGAGTAGCGAGTGTGGGAGGGATGGGAGGTATCCAGGGGAGGGGCGACCAGCATGAGAGTGCATCACTGAGAAGGTGGTCAATTATACTCCATGGATTACTCGAATCCAAGACATCATCGAGGCAGGAAAGGATGGAGATGGAAGAATTTGAGTTACAGGAGATCTTGAGATATATTATAGCCGAGATGGCAGGAAATGAGGTGGAAATCCGCCGCTGGATTGGACCTTACAACTGTAACTGTAACCTTGCAACTGTAGTAACAAGAATCGACCTGTCCTGGTACAGTTCTCTAACAAAGAGGCAGTGGATTACATACCGCAACACAAACATTTACTCAGAGGTAGCAAAAACTATTACAACATGTATATTGATAAATATATGACAAAAGATGAACAGATACCCCACAGGGCGAGCCGACCTACACGCCACAACTCTACCCATTCGAGTGTAGTTATCCACCCAACCATTGTTAACCACCCCACAACTCCTTCCCAAGCAACATCCTCCCCAAATCATCCCTCCCATCCCTCGCTCCTGCTTATCTCCCCAACAACACTCCTGTCCCTTCTGACCCCATTGCATTCATTTTCATCTGCTTCATCCCACCTAGCAATGACCCCGTCATCCCCTCTACCCCGAAAACCTGCCCAGCCCTCACCCCTCCTCTGCCCCCTTCTCCCATATGACCCTCTTCCCTTGTGACCCTCCCCCCCACCTCTTCCTCCAGCTCCCTCTCTCCCCTGAAACCAGCACCTTCACAAACAAGAGGACACAGATTCAAGCTAAGGAAACAAAGGTGCTGAAAAAATACTAGAAAGCATTCTTTCGCAAACAGAGTGGTAGACGGTTGGAACAAGCTAAGTGAGAAGGCGTTGAAGGCCAAAATCGTCAGTATTTTCAAAGCGTTATATGACAAAGAGTGTTGGGAAGACGGGACACCACGAGCTTAGCTCTCATTCTGTAACTTCACTTAGGTGATTACACTTAGCTAATCACAAACGGTGACCATTAAACAAATAAAATTACAAACTGTCCTGTAGTACTGTATCTTTAAAACTGTTCTTCAGAAGCCTATTTCTAAATTGTGTTTAAAAAGCCCATCTCCAAATTGTGTTTCAAAAGCTCATCTCTAAATTGAGTTTCAAAAGCCCATCTCTAAATTGTTTCAAAAGCCCATCTCCCAATTTTGTTTCAAAAGCCCATTTCTAAATTGTGTTCCAGAAACTCATCTTTCTCTCCATCTCCTGAAAATTCCAAGCATTGTATTTGACTTGAACCTCCGGTGGTCATGTGATGCAAAGCCGAGTGCAGGACCACCACACAACAAAAACAAGGGACAGTATATTGTAACTAATTCAACATCTTATCCGGATGATGTCAGGTTTCCAGGTCAACTACTTCACCAAGTCCAGGTTTAGACAACGGAATATACTATATCATATGATGAACTTGAATGGTCCTCAGCCTGTATTTTATATAGTTATTAAAATTTTAATCATTGCCTGAGGATGGGTTAATAATAATCTTGCCCCATACATTCATGCCCATCTTATTCCATCAGATATCCGGACAATGGACCACGTTCCAGGACGAAGTATTAACTTAGCTATGAGTATCCGAGGAAGGACGGGGCTAGGAGCAGTGGGGTTAGAGGATAAGATCGTCCAGCAGCATGGGATACCCATGAGAGCTCGCATGATCCACAACAAGGATGGATCCACCAAACCTATTCCATACCACAAGGATGGAAAGGTCAGTCGTACATAAGAGGTACACAAAACTGTTCATCAAAACTGGTTCATATTCATATATACTGTATGTCTAACCTACACTTGAAACAATCAAGCAATCCCACATGTATTATGTTGCCCCGTAATCTGTTCTACAAATCAGCAACCATGTTTTCAAACCCGTATTTACCCAGGTCTTTCGTAAATCTAAAATTACCCAATTTATTTGCATACATTGTATCATGTTCTACATAAGAGCTTGAAATGAGAATTTCAGGAAATTGTAGATATTCACTCATACAGGTATTAGTCTAAGATAACATGAGGCTAGGGTATCACACCATGATAACTGTCCTCCTCCTCCTCCTCCAGTGCATATATTCAGTGGGCCGTCGCTTCGTGAACGAGGAGCTCCTGTCTACGGCCGAAGAATTCCCGAACGTCCACATACACTTCTGTCACAAGCTGGTCAGCGCTGACCTCGAGAAGGGCACCATGACCTTCCTGAAGTAAGTCTGGTGTTGCTAGTATTAAAGACAAGGCAAAGATGGGCACTCTCACCCGAGTCTCAACAGGACCAGATTCCCGGAACACAGTCCATAACCAGGACCGGGAGAGTCAGTCCTTTTTAAAGGGATGACTGAAATGAGGACCATTGGTCCATATTAAAGCAGTTCTGAACAGTCTAACAATCTTTGTTACATTTTTCATTTTGAAAAACCTGAAGAGGACTAATATATATATATATATATATATATATATATATATATATATATATATATATATATATATACTGTATATATATATATATAGATATATACTGTATATATATATACAGTATACTGTATATATATATATATATACTGTATATATATACTGTATATATATATACAGATATATACTGTATATATATATACTGTATATATATATATACTGTATATATATATATACTGTATAGTATATATATACTGTATATATCTATATATATCTATATATATATATATATATATAAATATATATATATATATATATATATATATATATATATATATATATATATATATATCTATATATATATATATATATATATATATAATATATATATAATATATATATATATATATATATATATATATATATATATATATATATATATATATATGCGAACAAGCCTGAATGGTCCCCAGGACTATATGCGACTGAAAAATGCGACTATGCAACTATATGCGACTCACGCCACTTCTGGGGTGTGAGTTTTCAGTCATGTATATATATATATATATATATATGTCGTACCTAATAGCCAGAACGCACTTCTCAGCCTACTATGCAAGGCCCGATTTGCCTAATAAGCCAAGTTTTCCTGAATTAATATATTTTTCTCTAATTTTTTTCTTATGAAATGATAAAGCTACCCATTTCATTATGTATGAGGTCAATATTTTTTTATTGGAGTTAAAATTAACGAAGATATATGACCGAACCTAACCAACCCTACCTAACCTAACCTAACCTATCTTTATAGGTTAGGTTAGGTTAGGTAGCCGAAAACGTTAGGTTAGGTTAGGTTAGGTAGGTTAGGTAGTCGAAAAACAATTAATTCATGAAAACTTGGCTTATTAGGCAAATCGGGCCTTGCATAGTAGGCAGAGAAGTGCGTTCTGGCTATTAGGTACGACATATATATATATATATATATATATATGTCGTACCTAGTAGCCAGAACTCACTTCTCAGCCTACTATTCAAGGCCAGATTTGCCTAGTAAGCCAAGTTTTCCTGAATTATTATATTTACTATAATTTTTTTCTTATGAAATGATAAAGCAACCCTTTTCTCTATGTATGAGGTCAATTTTTTTTTATTGGAGTTAAAATTAACGTAGATATATGACCGAACCTAACCAACCCTACCTAACCTAACCTAACCTATATTTATAGGTAAGGTTAGGTTAGGTAGCCAAAAAAAGCTAGGTTAGGTTAGGTTAGGTAGGTTAGGTAGACGAAAAAACATTAATTCATGAAAACTTGGCTTATTAGGCAAATCGGGCCTTGAATAGTAGGCTGAGAAGTGCGTTCTGGCTATTAGGTACGACATATATATATATATATATATATGTCGTACCTAGTAGCCAGAACTCACTTCTGAGCCTACTATGCAAGGCCCGATTTGCCTAATAAGCCAAGTTTTCATGAATTAATTGCTTTTCGACTACCTAACCTACCTAACCTAACCTAACCTAACTTTTTCGGCTACCTAACCTAACCTAACCTATAAAGATAGGTTAGGTTAGGTTAGGTAGGGTTGGTTAGGTTCGGTCATATATCTACGTTAATTTTAACTCCAATAAAAAAAAATTCACCTCTTACATAATGAAATGGGTTGCTTTATCATTTCATAAGAAAAAAATTTGAGAAAATATATTATTTCATGAAAACTTGGCTTATTAGGCAAATCGGGCCTTGCATTGTAGGCTGAAAAGTGAGTTCTGGCTACTAGGTACGACATATATATATATATATATATATAATATAATATAATATTAGTATATTTTGATAGCAGTCTTTCTTGTAAACATATGTTGTTAAATATGACCGAAAAAGTAAGATTAATAATTCTAACATGAATTTTCTCAATATTTCTTATGTTTTTTTTTACTATTGATGGTAATTGAAATATCAATTCTCCAAAATTCATTTTAATTTCTAGTCTGACACGACACTTGAACACGTTTCGTAATAACTTATTACATTTTCAAAGACTTTAGTTTACACACACACAACTATAACCTGCAAACACTAAACAGTTTTACTATGCTAATATTTAAACAGCTTTTGTCTTATATACTCGCATTTGGGTGAGGTGATATGTTACAATAGTTTTGGATGAGGTGAACAAACTTTCAACACAAGACAGAATACGGTTCAATGGGTATAGATGAAAGGGAAGAATGGAAGTAACTGCAAAGGGCCTATTGGCCCATATTTCCTCTTGATGCTTCTATATTGGTACGGAGTCTTGAAGTGGGTAGAATATAGCTGTGCATTAATTGGCTGTTGATTGCTGGTGTTGACATCACCACATCAAGAAGTCAACACCATACACATCAAAAAGTCAACACCAGCCAATTAATGCACAACTATATTCTACCCACTTCAAGACTCTGTACCAATATAGAAACATCAAGAGGAAATATGAGCCAATAGGCCCTTTGCAGTTACTTCCATTCTTCTCTTTCATCTATACCCACTGAACCGTATTCTGTCTTGTGTTGAAAGTTTGTTCACCTCATCCAAAACTGTTGTAACATATCACCTCACATTTGTGTTCCATCTGAGGTGCTGGAGGAACTCGACAACCTGTGACAAGTAGTCTTGTACCTTGCAGGTAACCAATGTTGTAACCCTTTTTGTATATACAGTATATATATTTATATATATTGGTTATATTGCTGACATGTTATTCCAGCACAAGGACCCAGGACGAGGTACGAGCCAAGGCAGACCTCGTAATAGGGTGTGATGGAGCCTACTCCACAATGAGGAAACAAATGTTGAAGCGGCCCCACTTCAACTACTCCCAGCAGTACATCCCTCATGGTTACATGGAACTCTGTATCCCGGCCACACCCCAAGGAGAGGTAAGAATAATGTTAACCCCTTATTCTGCTCCAAATGCCATCTATCTTGAGGTTATCTTGAGATGATTTCAGGGCTTAGCATGCCCACGGTCCGGTCCTCAACCAGGCCTACTTTTAGTTACCCAGGAAGCAGACTGTAGCAGCTGTGTAACTCCCAGGATCCTATTTACTGGTAGGTGAACAGGGGCTTCAGGGTGAAAGAAAATCTGCCCATTTGTTTACTCCTCCACCAGGGATCGAACCCGGAAGCTTAGGACTATGAAACCCAAGCGCTGCCCAGTCAGCTGTCAGGCCCCTTTGTTATAATTCTTAGCTACTAAGTTGGCCTCGATATCTTCTTCAGGCCTGGTACCAATCCTGTCTATAAATTAATTAGATAATAATAATAATAATTATTATTATTATTATTTTTATTTAGGCAAAAGTACATACTACATACAAAATAGGATACAAAAAAAATGTTGGGTTTCTAGATAGAGCAAGTATATACTATGCCTAAAGCCACTAATAAACACAGCGTTTTGGGCACGATGCTGAAAAATAAACTTAAAAATTAAGCCTTAAAACTATATGAGATCAAAAGCAACAATGAACTGATGCTGAAATAAAAAAAGACCATAATTACATAGTGAATGTCACAGCAGTAATTGCAACAGAATAGCAGATACAGTAGTAATTTTCACTAAATATATACAGAAGGAATAAATTCTTTTTTAATTTTTACATGTCAGATATCTGCAGTTTTATAAGTTCAGTCATTAATGTTAAATAATAGTATTTATTAGATAAGATATGATGTTTATTCAGGTAAAGGTACATACAGTGGCACCTTGACATACGATTGCCCCTACTTTGCAGTCTCCGTGGTGTAGTGGTAAGACACTCGCCTGGCGTTCCGCGAGCGCTATGTCATGGGTTCGTATCCTGGCCGGGGAGGATTTACTGGGCGCAATTCCTTAACTGTAGCCTCTGTTTAACGCAACAGTAAAATGTGTACTTGGATGAAAAAACGATTCTTCGCGGCAGGGGATCGTATTCCAGGGACCATAGGATTAAGGACTTGCCCGAAACGCTACGCGTACTAGTGGCTGTACAAGAATGTAACAACTCTTGTATATATCTCAAAAAAAAAAAAAAAAAAAACTTACGATAATTTCGAGTTACGATGTAAATTTCATCGAAAAATGCGACTCGACATCTGATGGTGTCGTCGACTTCCGATATTTGTTGGTACACGTTCGGGTCGACCGAGCGCGTGGTTCCCGGTCACGCGGCCGTCCTGCTACTTTATACTTTAAACAGCGGGCAGCTGTTTACTACAGCGGCCCGCTTAGTGACGATCGCACCTATAAGAAATTCCGCTTTTGTGGTGATTTTTTGCATTTTGAACTTTAAAGTAATTATTATATATCGCGCCATGAGTCCCAGGGAAGTCAGTGGTAAGACTCAACATATGAAAACCCATGTAAGGATGACCATAGAGCAGAAACAAGAGTACAGAATGTCTCTTCCTCAACAATTAAGAAAATGTGTGCAGCATGGGAAGAATTGCAAACCTTTGCTGAAACGACTCACCCAAATCAAGCTGCAGTAGGTCGTTGCCTTAACCTATTCAGTGACACTGTGATGCATCATTACAGACAAACGTTAAAATGAAGGGAAAAACAAATGTCTCTTGACAAATTTGTAGTGAGACAAACAAGCACTGAACCACAACCAGGTCCTAGTGGTATGCAGGCAAATTTAGGAGAGAGAGTACCCCAGAGAAAACATCACTGCCTGATGTGATAATGGAAGGGGACTCCCCTTCCAAACAGTAACAACTCTCCTCCTCCCCCCTCATCACCATCTTCCATATGCCATCAAGAGCCCTCCATAAAGGTAAGAGAAACATTGGTACTGTATTGTACTTAGAAAAAAAACATTGTATTCATTATAAAATGTATTTGTATCTGAATATTTTGGAGGGTGGAAAACGGATTAATTCAATTCCCTTTATCTTGAGTTGATTTCGGGGCTTTTTTAGTGTCCCCGCGACCCGGTCCTCGACCAGGCCTCCACCCCCAGGAAGCAGCCCGTGACAGCTGACTAACTCCCAGGTACCTATTTACTGCTAGGTAACAGGGGCATAGGGTGAAAGAAACTCTGGCCATCGTTTCTTGCTGGCGCCCGGGATCGAACCCGGGGCCACAGGATCACAAGTCCAGTGTGCTGTCCGCTCGGTCGACCAGCTCCCCTTTCCTTTACCTTTATGTACCTTTATTATAAATATAATAATAAAAAATAATAAAACTAATAATAATAATAATAAAAAATAAAAGTAAATAAGTACCTTTATTTCTTATGGGAAAAATCACTTCGACATATGATATTTCGACTTACGATATGTCTCTGGGAATGGATTAGCAACATAAGTCGAGGCCCCATTGTATATTGAAAATGAGTTACAAACATAATGTTGGCTAAATAAATAGAGCTAGTACATACTATGCCTGAAGCCACTAATATGCACAGCATTTCGGGCAAGATGTGGGGGAAAACTTAGACTAAAACTTAATACTAATTGAGATCAAAAGCATAAATTCCATTGAAATAAGGAAAAAATAAAAAAGTTTTTGTTACGTTATGTATGTTACTTGAGTTGTATTATTGTTATGTATGCTACTTGAGTTACATTATTGTTACATTATATATGTTACTTGAGTTATGTTATTGTTACATTATATATGTTACTTGATAAATAAATAAATGTTTATTCAGGTAAAGTACATACATACAAGAGGTTTTACAAAAATTGATAGATTTATAGATAGAGCTAGTACATACAATGCCTAAAGCCACTATTACGCAAAGCGTTTCGGGCAGGAAAAACATTAAAGACTAAAACTTAATACTAATTGAGATTAAAGTATAAAATGTGATGAGAACAATTAAAAATAAAAAACGGGGGAACATGGCAGAAAAAGCAGCACAAATACAATTGGGTCGACAAACGGCGTTGTTTAAAAAAACAGACATGGGTTGACAATATAGGGGTAAGGTAGGTTACAGGGAATTTATTAGGTAGTGCTTTGTTTTTATGTTAAACTGGTTGAGAGAGGTACAGTCTTTAACATGATTGGGAAGGTCATTCCACATTCTGGGTCCCTTGATTTGTAGAGCATTTCTAGTTTGATTAAGTCGTACTCTTGGAATATCAAAACTGTATTTGTTTCTGGTGTGGTGCTCATGGGTTCTGTTACAACCTTCAATGAAGCTTTTGAGGTCAGGATTGGCATTACAGTTCAGCATTTTATATATGTATAATACACATGAGAGAATGTGCAGTGACTTAATATCTAACATATTCAGAGATTTGAGTAGGGGTACCGAGTGATGTCTGGGGCCGGAGTTGGATATTGTCCTAATAGCAGCTTTGTGTTGAGTAATTAGAGGACGTAAATGATTTTGGGTAGTAGAACCCCAAGCACAAATACCATAGTTGAGATATGGATAGATGAGGGAGTAATAGAGCGTCACCAGGGCAGGGCGAGGTACATAATATCTGATCTTAGAAAGAATGCCAACAGTTTTAGAAACTTTTTTGATATATTTGGAATGTGTCCCTGGAAATTCAGCTTGTGGTCAATGAGAACACCAAGGAATTTGCCATTTATTTTGTAACAAATTTTGGTACAGTATTGTTTATCCTGAGATTTATTTGATTAGAGAATTTATTGCCAAACAAAATATAAAAAGTTTTGTCAATGTTAAGGGTGAGTTTGTTGGCAGTTAGCCAGAGATGGACTTTATTTAGCTCAGTATTTTCTGTGGCATTTAGAGCAAGGGGGCCAGGACTGGAGTAAATGAAGGTTGTGTCATCAGCAAATAGAATTGGTTTAAGGTGTTGGGAGGCATTTGGAAGGTCATTAATGTAGATGAGAAAGAGGAGAGGGCCAAGTATGCTCCCCTGAGGAACACCGATGTTGATGGGTAGGGTGGGAGAATTGAATTATTCTCAGAAACATACTAGAGCCTGTCAGTAAGGTAAGATTTGAGGTATTGCGGGGAGTGTCCTCTGACTCCATAATGATGTAATTTAGGAAGAAGGTTTTGGTGGTTGACAGTGTCAAAAACCTTATGCAGGTCCACAAATAACCCAACAGGGAACTCATTTTTATCAAGAGCTGCATGTATCAAGTTAATCATACTAATAAATGCATCATTAGTGCTTTTTTTTGGGTCTGAAGCCATATTGACAAGAGCTAAGTATATTGTGTTTGGCTAGATAAGAGTAAAGCTGCTTATAGATTAGTTTTTCAAATATTTTTGACAAGTTAGGCAGGATTAATATAGGTCTGTAGTTGTTAATATCTGTGAGATCACCACATTTGTGGACAGGGGTTATGTTATGGCTTGAGTTATGTTATTGTTATGTTATATATAATATGTTACTTGAGTTACGTTATTGTTACGTTATGTATGTTACTTCAGTTACGTTATTGTTACATTATGTATGTTACTTGAGTTACATTATATATGTTACTGGAGTTATGTTATTGATAGATATGTTATGTTGCCAATGTTATGTATTTACCTGAGTCTGTAATCCTTCTCTGGAGTGCCATTGAGTGATGGATGTATTTAGGTCTCCACATACTCATAATACAAAGTGCAAAACCACAATAATGTTTAACTCGCTCTAACCTCCCCTCCCCTTCCCCCGTACAGTTCTCCATGCCATGTAACTACCTACACATATGGCCCCGGGGCGAGTACATGATGATTGCTCTACCGAACCAAGACAAATCATGGACTGTGACCCTCTTCATGCCATTTGAGGTCTTTGAAGGGCTCACATCCCCGGAGCGTTTGTTGGACTTCTTCAAGGTTTAACACTTTCGCGCTATCTGGACGCGCCGGCGCGTTCGGTTTCGTCTAACGTAAACGCATAGTGGACATAAAGTTATGTCAACTTTTAAAATATTTGTATAAAATTCAATTTTTATCCGATTTACTTTGGGTTTGTTTCAAACTGCGCGCTATGAGGCTCTCTTTCTCACCACTAGGCTGCATGGTACAATAAGTTCATGAAAGGTGTGGATAACTTCGATCAAATGGTATTTTGTCCCAAACGGGTTGCAGGTGGGTGACTTTAGCCGTTTATACTGGTAATTCTTCCCCCATATCATGTATTATATGCATATGTCTGTTTAGGGAATTTTATTCCGATCAATATACAACCAAAAATAACTGTGTGCAACAAGTATAATCTTGACAAACATAACAAAAGTAAAAATATTTCGTGTGTGTTTGACGCTCACTGATATGTTCCAGCGTTGTTTTATATTTGTCGCTATTCTAACTTACGCTTTGTTGATATTTTTTACCTATGGGCACATAGAACATTCTATTGCGAACACATTGACATAAAAATGAATGACGTACATAGAAAATTAATGTCATGAGAGTGAAATAAGTATAAACTTTCAAAGCGCCGTGCGTCGTCCCGTCACCGATACCGGGTAACAATTTCACCACTTCCCACACTCTTGCGGGCGGGCTGCATCATTATTCTACGCTTATATTCATATCACCGTGTTGGGAATTTCATTGCGAGTCCATTGATACCAAAATTAACGCTGTAGAGCAAGTGTGGAGGTGATTACAATCCCAAGAGTAAAAACATTTTGTTGCTGATGGGCGCTCACGGCGAGTCATCTACGTAGTTATTTATTTGGTGCTGGTATCCCTATATGTTTCGTGACTTATTTTACTAATGTTCTTCTAGAGAATTTTATTGCGAACACGTTGGTACCAAAATGAAATACGTAGCATGAGAACTAAGGTCAGAAGAGTAAAAAGAGTATACACATTTTTGTTTTTACGCTTAAGCGATAAAAACGCAGCGCGCACATTCGGTTGGCTGAGTGACCTTTGCGGAGAGCGCGAAAGTGTTAATTTCTATGTTTTCTGTTAACCCCCAATGTACCTTCTTGTATATAAATAAATAAATAATTAAGTAAATAAATAAAATATCAACAATATAAATTGACAGGAGTGATTACACTGGTAAAGTTTAAGTACTTAATTAATTTTAGTACTAAAATTTGGGAAGTGGGTAGTACAAGATATAAATACAAATATAAATACAAATACAAATATAAATACAAATACAAATATTTATTCAGGTAAGGTACATACATACAAGGTGAGATACAAAAAGTTGATGGATTTATAGATAGGGCTATTACATACAATGCCTAAAGCCACTATTACGCAAAGCTTTTCGGGCAGGAAAAACACTAAGACTAAAACTTAATATTAATTGAGATTAAAGTATAAATTGTGTTGAGGAAAAACAAATGAAAAAAAGGGGGGGGGGGGGAACATGGCAGAAAAAATAGCAAAAATATAATTTGGTCAACAAACAGCATTGTTTAAAATAGTAGACATGGGTTGCTATTTTGGGGTTGAGGTAGGTTACATGGAGTTAATTAGTTAGTGCTTAGTTTTTATCTTAAACTAGTTGGGAGAGGTACAGTCTTTAGATACAGTGTGATTTTGAATCACAAGGTAGGAAACTATCGAGGATGAAATTAGGTCCTTTTTTTATTTTACTTTTGAACAGGGCATGGGATGGATAATTCTTTAATTCATCAGGAAGCGAGTTCCAAAGAACAGGGAGTGAGAATTTGTTGGTAAATCATCTTGTGGGTAATATGACTTGTATCCATCGAGCAACCCTTACTCGTAAAAAGATAGTACTTCTAGGAACTATTTAATCGAACATACAAAAGTGGACTATTGCAGCCAGCAATGTTTTGTACTATTACTTTTCTAGAGGGCATGATCCTATAGTTTCAACTAAGTAAACACACACACACACACACAAATTCAATATTTGTGATAGGGTATTAATGCAACCTTTCCAAAATTCCTTAACAATTTTGAAGAAAAATATTATGCACTTGTATACTAATATGCAAGTTTAATTAAATATTTTTTATGGAAAATAATAATAATAATATTGCAGGCGATGAGTCACAATAACGTGGCTGAAGTATGTTGACCAGACCACACACTAGAAGGTGGAGGGACGATGACGTTTCGGTCCGTCCTGGACCATTCTCAAGTCGATTGTGATGAGGAAGAAGAGACAGGCAAAAAATAGGCAAGAGAGATCTAAGGAGCAAAATAAGGTGTAGGGGGATAGTAGTAATAATAAGAACTGCAGAGGGCCTATTGGCCCATACGCGGCAGCTCCTATTATAACCACCGAATGAGAAGGAGATAGTAATAGGAATAAGAAGAGGATAGCAAAGGAGCATAGGAGAAGACAATGAACAGAAAAAGGGAGAAGAGAGAAAGAAAAGGAAAGAGAAAGAAAGATAAATGGAAGGGGGTAAGCTTATGTTAAGTCATGTTTGTTAGAAATATTAGAGCATTTGAGTATATACTGTGAAAGGGAACACAAGAGAAGTGTTAAGTCTGCAGACACTAGCAATGCTCTCTTCTGCCATGTGAGGGATTCTAATCATCCCATTGATTGGTCTTCCTCCAAAATAATCTTTCCTGCCTCTACTCTACACAGACGCTGTCTTGTTGAATCGGCTCTAATACACAATGTACCCAACATGAACTTGAGTCCTGGCTTTGTTGCTGTGGACTCTTCCCTTTCACAGTATATACTCAAATGCTCTAATCTTTCTAACAAACGTGACTTAACATAAGCTTACCCCTTCCATTTATCTTTCTTTCTCTTTCCTTTTCTTTCTCTCTTCTCTCTTTTTTCTGTTCATTGTCTTCTACGCTCCCTTGCTATCCTCTTCTTATTCCTATTACTATCTCCTCATTCGGTGGTTATAATAGGAGCTGCCTCGTATGGGCCAATAGGCCCTCTGCAGTTCTTATTATTACTACTATCCCTTACCTTACTTTGCTCCTCAGCTCTCTCTTGTCTATTTATTGCCTGTCTCTACCTTCTCATCACAATCGACTTGAGAATGGTCCAGGACAGACAGAAACATCGACGTCCCCTCACCTTCTATTGTGTGGTCTGGTCAACAATAATAATAATATTCTTTTTACAGTATATTGTAGGACTTTTACATTTAAGCAAATATATTGTGGATAAGGGGACTTCATCTCAGAACCTCTGATGGTAGGGGGTGGCTCACCCCAGAACCCCTGATGGTAGGGGGAGTGTGGCTCCCCCCAGACCCCCGCAACATGTAGCCTCACTTTACTCTGCATCTGTTCCTACTGCATTATATAATTTATGTATGCTTTATGCATTTATAATCAACTTACTCTCTACAAGTTAATGTTCACTTCCTTCTGTAAAAAGGATCTCTTGCTTATACCTTATATAAGTGTAACTTAACCCTTAATGATTGCTACTTTCTTTTATTAAACATTTTTCTCCATGTTGTATTTTACTCAAGATCAGAAATATGCAAATTTGCTGGGATATTAATAGTTTCTTACAGTCTTGAGAATCACAATTTCAATATAACACAATTTCAGGAAAACTACCCAGATGCCATCACGCTAATTGGTAAAGAACGGCTCATTCGTGATTTCTTCGCCAACAAGGCTCTTCCCTTGATTAATGTTAAGGTGAGTGTCACCTTTATGTGCTCCCCTTGTCTGAAGGGAAAACACTCTATTGGATCAACAAATAGAAGTTTTCCTGTTGATAATTTTAGGTTACACAGTAGACTCACAGTTCGAGGGACTCTGGTTTGACTCTTGGGAGGGACAGAAAGGGCTGAACACATTTCCTTTCACCTGAAGCACCTGCTCACCCAGCAGTAACTAGGTACCCGGGAGTTAAGGGTTTGGGGGGGGACCTCAATGAAAGCCAAACATACATGAACAACTAGATAAAATTAAATTATGAATTAATTATATTTGATATTATACTTGTGTTTTACCAACATGTGTGATGTTGCAGTGTTCGCCATACCACGTGGGCTCCACCTCGCTGCTTCTGGGGGATGCAGCGCACGCCATGGTCCCCTTCTATGGTCAGGGCATGAACTGTGTAAGTTGTTGGGGTCCTGTGTACATAACATTTATGTACTGCTCATTCCTCAAGCATTTACATGTCCATTTACAAAACCTGTTCGTTTTACACATGGTATATTTGACATATATATAGTATATTTTATTTGTTATTTTTTGGACAGTTTTGATTCCATAGCTTAAATCTATAGCCTCTTGTTGTTTGTATTCCAGTAGTGATGACAGAATATGACCAGAAACAATACTATTTATTTATTTATTTATATGTACAGTATATACAAGAAGGTACATTGGGTTTATGAGAGAACATGGCACTGATGTTTTTACATTCTTGTAAAGACTCTTAACACACATAGCATTTTGGGCAGGATCTTAATCTAACAGATAACTTTAAGTAGAAAATTTCTAGCAAAATTGGATTTTTTTTTACAGGTACATTGTAAGAAAATTTGACAAAGATTAGTAGGTACATTATAGTAAAATTTAAGGGTGATCAATAGGTACATTGTAGCATAATTTGAGGATTATTTCAAGGTATAATGCAGTAAAATATGTGTTCAATATAACAACCATGATATAAGGTGACAGCAGTGATTACAGTGGTGAAGTTGTATGGCTTAAGTACATCTATTGGGGGATTGGGTAGAACTAGATACAGTGCGAGTTAAAGCACTAGGTAGGAAACTATGAAATTCAAATGTTATTCAGGTAAAGTTCATCTTGAGGTTATCTTGAGATGATTTCGGGGCTTTTTAGTGTCCCCGCGGCCCGGTCCTCGACCAGGCCTCCACCCCAAGGAAGCAGCCCGTGACAGCTGACTAACTCCCAGGTACCTATTTACTGCTAGGTAACAGGGGCATTCAGGGTGAAAGAAACTTTGCCCATTTGTTTCTGCCTCGTGCGGGAATCGAACCCGCGTCACAGAATTACGAGTCCTGCGCGCTATCCACCAGGCTACGAGGCCCCCTACATACATACAAGGTGTGATACAAATATTGATGAATTTATAGATAGAGCTACTACATGCAATGCCTAAAGCCACTATTACACAAAGCATTACGGGCAGGAAAAACACGAAAGGCTAAAATTTAATACTAATTGAGATTAAAGTATAAATTGTGTTGAGAAAATATAAAAATAAAAAAGGGGGGAACATGGCAGAAAAATAGCAAAAATACAAGTTGGTCGACAAACAGCATTGATTAAAAATAGCAGACATGGGTTGACATTATAGGGGTAAGGTAGGTTACAGGGAGTTAATTAGGTAGTGCTTAGTTTTATCTTAAACTGTTTGGGAGAGGTACAATCTTTAACATGATTGGGAAGGTCATTCCACATTCTGGGCCCCTTGATTTGTAGAGCATTTCTAGTTTGATTAAGTCGTACTCTTGGAATATCAAAAAGGTATTTGTTTCTGGTGTGGTGCTCACGGGTTCTGTTACAACCTTCAAGGAAGCTTTTAAGGTCAGGATTGACATTACAGTTCAGCATTTTTTATATTTGTGGACCTTACGCAGGTCCACAAATAACCCAACAGGGAACTCATTTTTATCAAGAGCTGCATGAATCAAGTTAATCATACTAATAAGTGCATCGTTAGTACTCTTTTTGGGTCTGAAGCCATATTGACAAGAGCTAAGTATATTGTGTTTGGCTAGATAAGCGTGAAACTGCTTGTAGATTAGTTTTTCAAATATTTTTGACAAGTTTGGCAGGATTGATATAGGTCTGTAGTTGTTAACATCAGTGAGATCACCACATTTGTGGACTGGGGTTACTCTCGATGATTTCATGAAGATGAAATTAGGTACTTTTTGTTGTTGTTTTTGAATAAGGCAAAAGTTGGACAGCTTTTCAATTCACTAAGGAGTGAGTTCCATAGACTAGGTCCCTTTATTTGCATAGTGTTTACACAGATTAAGTTTGACTGGGGATATCAGAGATATTTATTTCTGGTGTGGTGATTATGAGTGCTATTTCATCTGTCCGGGGAGAGTTTCAGAGCATGGTTTGAGAACAGAGCATTTAAGAACAGGGTTTTGTAAATGTAAATAGCACAAGAGAATGTGTGGAGTTCTCATGTGATGTTTAGGGATTTAAACAAGGGGGCTAAGTGTTGTCTGAAAGCAGAATTTGTTATTGTTCTGATAGTATATTTTTGTTGGGTGATGATGGACTTGAGGTAGTTATCCGTGGTTGAACACCATGCAAAGTTACCATATGTAAGATAAGGGTAGATTAGTGCATAGTTTGAGAGATGAGCAGAGTTTGGAACATATATTTGATTTTAGAGAGTATACAAACCGTTTTTGAGACTCTCTAAGTTGTGTGTTGTATGTGGGTGCTGAAGTTGAGTCTCTTGTCTAAGTATAGGTCAAGGAACTTTTCATCATTTTTATTGCTGATGTTAACATTGTCTATCTAAAGCTGAATTGCATTTGTTGATTTGTTTCCAAATAAGATGTAATAGGTGCTTTCTGTGTTTAGTGGGAGTTTGTTGGTTGACATCCTAAAGTGGACTTTTTTTAATTCATTATTTACAACATTATTTAATGTGTACAGGTTGGGGTCTGAGTAGATGAGAGTAGTATCGTCAACAAATAATATAGGTGTAAGAATAACTGTTAGAGACATTAGATAGATCGTTGATGTATATAAGACATAGGATAGGTTCTAGGATACTGCCCTCTACAGTTATTGGTAGAATGGGAGAGGTTATATCATTGATGGCTACCTATTGGTGTCTGTCATTAGACAGAATTGAAGTTAATGTAGAGGTGGTCCCTTGTTACTGACCAATGCAAGTGGTCCTCGTTACTGGGCATCATGTAAGTGTTCCTTGCACCTAACCATCTTGTAAGTGTTCCTTGTTCCTAACTACCATAACCAGTGGGCACCACTGGTTGAAAGTGACTGACTTGCCATACTGTTTATTATGACAAATTAGTTGCTTTCAACCAACGGTGCCCACTGAGAAGGATATCATATGCATACCTTATAGTGATATTTTCAGTTTACATTTGTTTTCAAAAATCATAATACACCTTACCAGAACTAATAAGATGTATAATGGGATCACAAGACCGTGATGTAGCTACAATAAAATACATTATAAAACTTGGCTTACGGTGCAAGATGACACTTTCCAAAATCCAAATTGGGTATAGTCAGAATACAGTAGTATAAATCTGGTATAGTACTACTGGTTGGGATATATTTGAGCTCATTATGGTTCAGTTGATAGGGTGTGTGTGTGTGTGTTGGGACTCTTTAAGAGCAGGATTTAGCAAGCATTTATGCATCTTGAAATGAAACCTGTACATCTTTCAACAATCACTATGGCTTTGTTTATGTTTATTACTGTTTTACAAGCTTAGAATCTTCACAGCCCAAGGTTATCATTATCATAACCATCCTCCCTGTTTATGATAATAAACCTCATAATGCTACAGAGCTCATAAACTGTTTAATAAATGTGACAAAAGCTGCTAGGATTATTGAAAAATGCACAGGTTCTACAAGTGGATTTGTTTAATGCTTGATGGTTACTAGCCCAGGTATGTGGGTTCGATGCCGTCATATGGCCTCATTACTTTCTGACTAATGTGTTCCAGGGGATGGAGGACTGCATGGTGTTGGATGAGCTGATGAACCAGTTTGAGGATGACCTGGTGAAAGTCCTTCCCGAGTACTCCAAACACAGGAATCCGGATGCTGAGGCCATCGTCGACCTAGCTATGTACAACTACATTGAGGTTAGTCTGGCTTATGGTCCCTTCGAACCTAGTTTAGGTCTCTTCGGTTTATGTGTCTATGGTTTAATGTGTCTCTAGTTTATGTGTCTATGGTTTAATGTGTCTCTAGTTTATTTGTCTCAGGTTTGCGTGTCTCAGGTTTAAATACTGTATCACTGGTTTCAGTGCCGGAATTAAGCATAAGTCAGTCAAGCTACAGCTAGAGCCTCAAAAAATTTCAGCCAAATAATAAATATGCATTTAGTAAATGAGTTAGTTTGAAAATAATTAAAAGGCATATACAGTATTGAAAATGTTTTAAATTTTGTTGTGGAGGCAAAGGTCTTGTTTTGGTATGCACCTTCGCGAAACCTCCTGGTGTAACTTCTTAACAAGGTTCCTCCTAGCTTAATATAGCTTAGAAACTCACCAAGTCTAAATCCAGCTCTGGTTTACATGTGTGGGGTTCATGTGCATGTTGTGACCATCAGTTCAACACTAGTCATGGCTAATGGAATTCAATCTGCATAAATGCAATGTTATGGAATGTGGAATAGTAGATAAGATAATATAAGATAATTAGAGATACACACAACATAAAATTGTATGAAAAAATCCAACTTCAGAATCGCTTTTAAACTGCATAGAATTATTAGATTCTGCATATGGATGATGAATTATTAAAGAAATTTTTCACGACCTTTGTGAGACCAAAAGTGGAATATGCAGCGGTTGTATGGTGCCCATATTATAAGAAGCACATTAATAAATTGGAAAAGGTGCAAAGACATACAACTATATGGCTTACAAAACTAAAAAGCAAGAGATATGAAAAGAGACTTGAGGTGTTTAAATAAATATACCAAAGCTAAGATATTTATTTATTTATTTTATTTATTTATATACAAGAAGGTACATTGGGGGTTAAGAGAGAAATGAAGTTGATTTTACATTCTTGTAAAGCCACTAGTACGCATAGCGTTTTGGGCAAGTCCTTAAACTAACAGATAATTTTAAGTAGATAATTCACAGTAAAATTGGCAAAACTGTTTACAGGTACTTTACAGCTTTACTTTACAGGTACAGATAATTTTAAGTAGATAAATTACAGTAAAATTGTCAAAAAATGTTTACAAGTACATTGAAAGAAATTTTGACACAAAAACAAAGATTAGAAATATACACAATAATAACAATACTGTACACTATAATGAACAAGGAATACTCGGTACATTAGGATAACATTTCAGGGTTATGCATTGGATCACAATGGTGTACCACAAAATTGGAGTAGTAACTTAAGAATCTAATCTGTCTAAGGCCTACATAAGCAATCCTAGTCTTAAAATATGCTATCACAAGCCTAGTACTGCAATTATGTGCTAAACTAAGCATATCATAGTTTAGGTTTGGTTATTACCAATTTCAGACCTATACACATTTCTTTGTACAAAACAGAACATTGTTATAATACTACTACTACTACTACTACTACTACTACTACTACTACTACTACTACTAATAATAATAATAACATTGTGTACAGACCATTGTGATCATTGCTGTCTTATATGTGCTGTCAATCTGCTGTATGGTGTCTATTAACCTTGTTTAAATTACTAATCAAGCTGACAATGTAATAAATCAGAGCTTTAATATAACAATGTGCTTTAATATACCTACTTATCTCTCTCATCTCATTTTTCTCTTGTAATGTATCTTTATCATTTATCAATTCTGATTGAAATTACCTACTTAAAATTATCTGCTAGATTAAGGACCTGCCCGAAACGCAATGCGTACTAGTGGCTTTACAAGAATGTAAATACTGTATTATCCAATGTATTCTCACAAACCCAATGTACCTTCTTGTATATATATAAATAAATAAATAAATAAATAAATAAATACCTACATTTGAAACTGTGCATGGAGTCAGCCTCCACCAAATCACTGCCTAATGCATTCAAGGGCTAAGTCAACTCTCATATCAGGAACAGTTGAGGGCCTCAGGGCTAACAACACTACAAATCAGACATGACAGGTGGATCTTATTGAAATTTCTAAAATACTGAACAAGTTAGAGGATATTGATCCGGATATTTTCTTCATTAGGTCAGATGTAACACAAACAAGTTACAATGGATGCAAGCTCGACAAGCCACAATGTAGGACTGAGAACAGGAGATGCTTTTTCACCCACAGGGTTATTAACCCATGGAACTGCCTACCCATCCATGCCCTAAATGCCAAAACTGTGTTGAGTTTTAAAATATACCCGGAAAAGATCATCAAGGCAAATGGGGGGACCTTTGACAAGTCGCCGGCTTCTTGTCCTTATCGAGGCTACTATTTGTTAGCTATTCTCACACTGAAAAAGTTCTTTCCAATGTCCTAATGTTAATGTATTGTTCATGTCTTGCCTATGAATTCTCCACTGTTCAACGAAGATAAATTTACTCAAATAAAGAGCAACATTTAACAAACTTGGAGCACAATTTCACAAATATTGGGATCAAAGAAATCTTTAAATAACAAACCGACTCTCCTGTCTAATAACGATGGTCAGCTTTCAGCCTCTGATTCTGCTATTGAGTTCAATAGGTTCTTCTCTTCCATTGGTTCATCCCTTGCAAATGATATTCCATCTTCCAGTACTGACATTAAGGACTATCTTACAGGTAACTATCCACAGTCTCTGTACCTAAAGCCTATTAACTCCACTGACGTCAATGAGATAATCCTTTCCCTTAAAACCAAGTCTGGTGCCCTTGAGGAGATACCAACTTTAATTTACAAAAAAGCCTCCAGATCTTTAGCCCCTGCTATTGCTTTGCTCTTCAACAAGTCACTTGAACTCCAAACCTTTCCAGATATTCTAAAAAAAGCGAGAGTAACGCCTGTCCACAAATGTGGTGACCCCACAGATGTTAACAACTACAGACCTATATCAATCCTGCCAAACTTGTCAAAAATTTTTGAAAAACTTATATACAAGCAGCTTTACTCATATCTAGCCAAACTCAATATACTTAGCCCTTGCCAATATGGCTTCAGACCCAAAAAAAGCACTAACGATGCACTTATTAGTATGCTTAACTCGATTCATACAGCTCTTGATAAAAAGGAGCTCCCTGTTGGGTTATTTGTGGACCTGCGTAAAGCTTTTGATACTGTCAACCACCAAAACCTTCTTCTTAAATTACATCATTATGGAGTCAGAGGACACTCCCTACAATACCTCGAGTCCTACCTTACTGACAGGCTCCAATATGTTTCTGTGAATAATACAATTTCTCCCACCCTACCCATCAACATTGGTGTTCCTCAGGGCAGCATACTTGGCCCTCTCCTCTTTCTCATCTACATTAATGACCTTCCAAATGCCTCCCAACACCTCAAACCAATTCTATTTGCTGACGACACAACCTTCATTTACTCCAGTCCTGACCCTCTTGCTCTAAATGCCACAGGAAATACTGAGCTAAATAAAGTCCATCTTTGGCTAACTGCCAACAAACTCACCCTTAACATTGACAAAACCTTCTATATTCTGTTTGGCAATAAATCCTCTAGTCTTATAAATCTCAAAATAAACAATACCCAAATTTGTAACAAATTAGATGGCAAATTCCTTGGCATTCTCATTGACCACAAGCTGAATTTCCAGGGACACATTCTAAATATATCAAAAAAAGTTTCAAAAACTGTGGGCATTCTTTCTAAGATCAGATATTATGTACCACGCCCTGCTCTGGTGACTCTCTATTACTCCCTTATCTATCCTTATCTCAACTATGGTATTTGTGCTTGGGGTTCTACTACCCAAAATCACTTACGTCCTCTAATTACCCAACACAAAGCCGCTATTAGAACAATATCCAACTCTGGCCCCAGACATCACTCGGTACCCCTACTCAAATCTCTTAATATGTTAGATATTATGTATATTATGTATGTACTCTTGCATACATAAAATATTAATATTATAGCAGTAACTAAGTACCCGGGAGTAAGGGAACTGTTGTGGAGTGCATCCTGGATAAAGGGCAATTGTTGACCTAGAGCAACCTTTCACCTGATGCATCTGTTCACCAAGCAGTAAATTGGTACCCGTCAACTGTTGTGGGTTGCATCCTGGCAGCCAATAGTTGGCCTAGGGAGACCTTAATACAAGCTTAAGAATAGTCTTTCTGTCCCCGACAATGTATTGTACAGTAATAATAATAAATAAATAAATTAATATATAAATAAATGTTTATTCAGTTAAGGTACATACATTCAAGAGATTTTACAAAAATTGATAGATTTATAGATAGAGCTAGTACATACAATGCCTAAAGCCACTATTACGCAAAGCGTTTCGGGCAGGAAAAACACTACTGACTAAAACTTAATAGTAATTGAGTATAAAGAATAAAATGTGTTGAGAACAAATAAAAATAAAAATAAAAAAGGGGGAACATGGCTGAAAAGGCAGCACAAATACAATTAGGTCGACAAACAGCGTTGTTTAAAAAAACAGACATGGGTTGACAATAGAGGGGTAAGGTAGGTTACAGGGAATTTATTAGGTAGTGCTTCGTTTTTATCTTAAACTGGTTGAGAGAGGTACAGTCTTTTACATGAGTGGGAAGGTCATTCCACATTCTGGGTCCCTTGATTTGTAGAGCATTTCTAGTTTGATTAAGTTGTACTCTTGGAATATCAAAACTGTATTTGTTTCTGGTGTGGTGCTCATGGGTTCTGTTACAACCTTCAATGAAGCTTTTGAGGTCAGGATTGGCATTACAGTTCAGCATTTTATGTATGTATAATACACATGAGAGAATGTGCAGTGACTTAATATCTAACATATACAGAGATTTGAGTAGGGGTACCGAGTGATGTCTGGGGCCAGAGTTGGATATTGTCCTAATAGCAGCTTTGTGTTGAGAAATTAGAGGACGTAAATGATTTTGGGTACTATAGAACCCCGAGCACAAATACCATAGTTGAGATATGGATAGATGCGGGAGTAATAGAGAGTCACAAGGGCAGGGCGGGGTACATAATATCTGATCTTAGAAAGAATGCCAACAGTTTTTGAAACTTTTTTTGATATATTTAGAATGTGTCCCTGGAAATTCAGATTGCGGTCAATGAGAACACCAAGGAATTTGCCATCTATTTTGTTACAAATTTGGGTATTGTTTATTCTGAGATTTATTTGATTAGAGGATTTATTGCCAAACAGAATATAGAAAGTTTTGTCAATGTTAAGGGTGAGTTTGTTGGCAGTTAGCCAAAGATGGACTTTATTTAGCTCAGTATTTACTGTGGCATTTAGAGCAAGGGGGTCAGGACTGGAGTAAATGAAGGTTGTGTCATCAGCAAATAGAATTGGTTTGAGGTGTTGGGAGGCATTTGGGAGGTCATTATAGTAGTTATAGTACAGTTATTGTACAGTATAAATATTGTTCTCAGGAATCTTTTTCAATTGTATTTTGAACTGAATTATTATCAGGCATGTACAGCTTCAGTGAGTAGGTGATTCCATTGGTATACAGTATTACCTTATATAATAATTAATTCCAGTTGTCTGGTATAGGAAGCATGTGTATATATAAATATATACTTTAGGCTTGCATTGAGGTTTCCCCATCCTCCCCATTCAAGGTTGAATTACTGACCTTCCCCAGGATGCAACCCCACAACAGTTGCCTAACTCCTGGGTACCTATTTACTGCTAGATGAACACCTTCATTAGATGAAAGGAAACTTGCCTAACCATTTCTGTCCTTTTTGGAGATTGAACCCAGGATCCCCGACTATGAGTTGAGCATATAGCCACCAACAACACTAGTAACCTCGGTGTGTTTTTCTGATAATTACTGACTTCCTCCTGCAGATAATTACTGACTTCCTCCTGCAGATAATTACTGACTTCCTCCTCCTGATAATTACTGACTTCCTCCTGCAGATGAGACAACTGGTCAACTCGACGTCTTTCCTAATACGCAAGAAGTGGGACAACCTTCTCTATCGCCTCCTGCCACAGACGTGGGTGCCTCTCTACACTATGGTGACCTTCTCCAGGGAGAGATACCATCTCTGTATCATGAAGAGGAAGTGGCAGGATAGTGTACGTCTCTGCTGCCTTCCTCTGAAGGAAGATTGATCTTTTTCGTAGTTGGTTTACTTATGCAGATAACCTCAAGGTGCATGGAGTTGTTGGGCTAAAGGGCCATCAACCTATTTAGGGGTTATTAATGCCACCACAAGAGCTTAGTGATCAACTAAGCAAGTATACTTTAGTCCTGAATGTAGTCCAGTACTTAGGTAACCTCTCAGCATATATATACACTTCATTAATGGGGTACAGTATACCTCTCAGTGTATATATATATTCCCCTGAGGAGTAAGTCTGACTGTAGTATGTAGGAAAAATTGACTGTTGCATGTAAATTATCCCTATTCTGTTTATTTTCAAGGTTGAAGTAAACTGGTACTGGTAAACATGACACAGTTGCTGGACCACTATGACATGGCACTAGAGGCCATGGAAGACAAACAAAACGCTAATGTAATTTACACAGATTTCGCAAACGCCTTCTTTCAACAAATGTGACCATGGTGTTATTGCACATAAAATGCGTTCAAAAGTAATTACCGGAAAAATAGGCAGATGGATCTACAATTTCCTAACTAATAGAACTCAATGTGTAATTGTCAACAAAATCAAATCTGGTCCGTAAACCGTGAAGAGCTCAGTCCCCCAGGGTACTGTGCTTGCTCCAGTACTTTTTCTCATCCTAATATCGGACACAGAGGACACAACCTATAGTACTATATCATCCTTTGCAGATGACTCTAGGATTTTTATGAGAGTAGACAACATAGAGGACATGGCAAACCTCCATTCAGATGTAAATCAGGTCTTTCTATGGGCTACAGAAAATAATATGGTGTTTAAAGAAGATAAGTTCCAGCTCATGCGCTACGGAAAAAAGGAAAACATAAAAACGGAAACCACGTAAAACGCAGTCAAATCATACCATAGAATGAAAGGCAATGTAAAGGATCTGGGTGTACTCATGTCGGAAGACCTTACCTTTAAAGAACACAATAAAGTAGCCGTCACATCTGCAAGAAAAATGACAGGTTGGATAACAAGAACCTTTCACACCAGAGATGCTATACCGATGATGATACTTTTCAAGATACTAGTGCTCTCTAGAGTGGAATACTGCTGCACAATGACAGCACCTTTCAAAGCTGGAGAAATTGCTGACCTGGAGAGCGTGCAGAGATCCTTTACTGCTAGAATCCACTCAGTAAAGCATCTAAACTATTGGGGCCGACTAAAGAGCCTAAATCTGTATTCTCTTGAGCGCAGGCAGGAGAGATGCATAATAATTTACACGTGGGGAAATAGTAGAGAGGCTGGTCCCAAGCCTGCAAACAGAAATAACATCACATGAGACCAGAAGGCATGGAAGGATGTGCAGAATACCCCCTTTGAAAAGCAGAGGTGCAACAGGTACTCTGAGAGAGAACTCTATCAACATCAGAGGCCCGAGACTGTTTAACACGCTTCCACTTCACATAAGGGGCATAACTGGACGACCCCTGACAATGTTCAAGAGAGAACTTGACAAATACCTCCAAAGAATACCTGATCAACCAGGCTGTGACTCATATGTCAGGCTGCGAGCAGCCACGTCCAACAGCCTGGTTGACCAGTCCAGCAACGAGGAGGCCTGCTCGACGACTGGGCCGCGGGGACGCTAAGCCCCGGAATCACCTCAAGGTAACTTACACTTGAAACAATCCAGTGATCCCACATCCAGTATGTTGATGGTTCCACTGTTTGTCAAAAAAGATCCATTAAATATGTAATTGAGGCTTCAAGAGCATGAGTCGATTACCCCTACCAACCAGACCATGGATGTTCACAATAAGGAAGAATCTCAATTGGGTACCTAACTGGTACCCAACTGGGACTTTAAACCTTTCCTAGAGTGTATTTTAGAGGCTTGAGTTTGAATCCCCGATGATGCAAATGAATGAAATGTTATTACCATTATTGACCATCAAATATATATCTTTTAACACTGTTTTGAGGATAATTATTATTTTTGTCTTTCAGATTTTGAGCAAATTGATAAAGGTTGGCGGAGTGATCGGTATTGGCGCTGGCGTGGTGTTGGCCAGGACTGAAGCTGTTCACACATTATCCCATGTTCTTCTGGCCCACATAACAAGACTCACAGCCAAGATTGGGGCCATCACTTCTTGTTGATGCAGATGATGAGTCACAATAACGTGGCTGAAGAAATGTTGAACAAACCACACACTTGAAGATGAAGAGATGATAACGGTTTAGTCCGTTCTGGACCATACACATACTCAAGTCGATTGAGATAATTGACTTGATAATGGTCCTGCATGGACCGAAATGTCGTTGTCTCTTCATATTCTAGTGTGTGGTTTGGTCAACACTTTTTGTTGATTCTCTTTACCACGTCAACACATTACAAGACTTGCAACCAACAAACTCTCACTGTCAGCAATCAGCATAGTTGGTTCACAATTGAGAGGTCCCAGTTTTCTTTCTGTGGTGAGACAAAGACGCTTTGTGACATTTCTCTTCACTTTAGATCTCCATTCATCTAACAGAATCCTTCCATTTTGTTAAGAGTTTGAACCAAGGCCCTCATGCTATGAAAATGTGTGCTATCAGAAGCACTTTTCCCTTCCATGTGGTGTTGAAATACTCACACTATATTTTATATTGGGGGTTTATTTTTTAAACCAGATATGGAATTACACATTTTTGTACTGCTGAGTTGCCTAAGTGTAGTTACAGGATGAGAGTTACGCTCGTGGTGTTTCGTCTTCCCAGTACTCTGTCATATAACACTTTGAAACTACTGACGGGTTTGACCTCCACCACCTCTCACTTAACTTGTTCCAACTCTGTTTGCGAAAGTGAATTTTCTTATATTCCTTCAGCAGTTTTGTTTAGTTAGTTTAAATCTATGACCTCTTGTTCTTGACATTCCAGGTCTCAGGAATTCTTCCCTATTAATTTTGTCAATTCCTGTTACTATTTTGTATGTAGTGATCATATTGCTTCTTTTTCTTCTGTCTTCTAGTTTGGCATATTTAATGCCTCTAACCTCTTCTCGTAGCTCTTGCCCTCCAGTTCTGGGAGCCACTTTGTGGTATGTCTTTGCACTCTTTCCTGTTTGTTGATGTGCTTCTTAAGATATGGGCACCACACAACCACTGCATATTCCACTAAGGAATATTTTGTCTCACTAAGGTCATAAACAATTTCTTTAGTATTTCACCATCTCTGTATCTAAAAGCAATTCTGAAATTGAAAAGCAGAGCATAGGCTCCTTGCACAGTGTTCTTTATGTAATCCACAGGCGATAGTTTTCTATCTAGAATCACCCCTAGATCTCTTTCTTTATCAAAATTTTTGTTAAGTTTTTTTGTGTTTTCGAAAATCTGGCACTTTAACATAATTTTCTCTTACAGGTCTATTCCATTCTATGCTAAATCTGATTTCTTTGTGATCACTGTTCCCTAGTTCACTTCCTATTTCGATGTCATTAATTTGTGTTTCCCTGTTAGTTAACACTAAATCTAAAGTATTATTTTCCCGCGTTGGTTCCTTAATGTGTTGGCTAAGAAAGCAATCGTCAATTTATTCTAGAAAATCTCTGCTTCATTATTCCTTGTTCTGTTAGACCAATTTATTCCACTGAAATTTAAGTCACCCCATGACACAAATACTGCTAGACCTAGATGCTCTAGATATTTCATCCCATAGGTGCTTTGCTTCCATCCTGTTTAAGTTTGGTGGCCTGTATATAACTCCTAATATAAGATTATTTGCTCTTTCATTTAATTCTATTCAAATAGTTTCTGTATGTGGCTCAGTTTTGATTCTTTCTTTGAGAACTACATTTCAAATTTTCCCTAACATATATGGCTACTCCCGCTCCTCGTCAAATATATCTATCTGTGTGACATTGTTTAAATCCATTTATTTGATATTCAGCTAATAGTTCTCTATTTTCTACATTCATCCACGTTTCGGTAAGTGCAATAATATCTCTTTTTTTTTCTGTGCAGACAAGAGCATTTAACTCGTTTATTTTGTTTCTTAGACTTCTACTGATAGTTTAATATACCCTAAGTGAATTGTTATTTTGAGGCCCTTCACTTTCCCTGATCATTTTGCCAATTTGTTTCTCCAACAAACACATACTTTTATTACCTCCTTCCTCCCTATCAATTCCCATACCACTATCTACTAACAGTTTAAACCCAAACAAATGCCTCTAACCTCTGGTTTCAACGAGTTCGCAACAGCAACAACCCCAGCCCTCGATAGATGCACCCCATCATGAGCATACATTTCATTTCTTCCATAGAAGTGTTCCCAGTTGTCAATGAAAGATATTGAATTTGATTTGCAATGTTACCAGTCTCTGTGGTGTAGTGGTAAAACACTCGCCTGGCGTTCCACGAGTGCTTTGTCATGGGTTCGTATCCTGGCCGGGGAGGATTTACTGGGCGTAAATCCTTAACTATAGCCTCTGTTTAACTCGACAGTAAAATGGGTACTTGGTTGTAACAACGATTCTTCGTGGGGGTCATATTCCAGGGACCTATCCAAAACGCTATGTGTACTAGTGGCTGTACAAGAATGTAACAACTCTTGTATATATCTCAAATATCTTTTCAGCTGGCAATTGACACTAAGTGCCCTCGACAACAATTCATTCCCAACGCTCTTTCTTGGAAGAATTCCACATATGTTCAGGATTCCTCCCTTGCTCCTAACTAATTCTATGGCTTTGTTAAATGTCTGTATCAGTTCCTCACTCCTAACTCATCCAACATCATTACCCCCCTGCACTAATACAAATAATGGGTTTGTTCCCATTTCCCGTCATAATATCTTTCATGTTGTCAACAATATCTCCAATTCCAGCTCTTGGATAGCAAACCCTGAACCTGTTCCCCCTATCTCTGGCGCAAAACGTCCTGTCTAAATACCTCACCAGGGAATCCTCCACAACCAAAATTCTCTTAGGTACCTCCTTAACTTTCTGAGCACTTTGAGGGGCCTGTGATTCATTGCTCTTCGAAATATGACCTTCTGAAGAAAATATCTGGATCAACATCCTCTAACTTGTTCAGTATTTTTAAAGTTTCAATGAGATCCACCCTGTCATGTTTGGTTTGTAGTGTTGTTAGCCCTGTGGCCTTCAAATGTTTCAGATATGGGAGATGACTTAGCTATGGAATGACGTTGGTTGCCCAGTGTTGCACCTTCTTCAGAGCAGCTATGTCCTTCTGAAAATGAGGTCTGCATGCTTGGATACAGTAATCCAAATGGGGGCGTACGTGAGATTTATACAGTTGAACCATTACCTACTTTTCCTTATAGTCAAAAGTACACTTGATTATCCCAAGAGTTTGGTGAGCTTTTCATACTGTTAAGCAAATTTTACTGTTTGGTGGAGAAGTACTTTTAATGAGTAGGGCCCAAAATGGACCCTTGTGGCACCCCACTTATCACATTTTTCCAGTTAGAGTCATACAGACCTGTACTACTTTGGTAACCCAATTTACTCTTTAAATCTTGTTTCATCTCGAAAAATAAAATTTTATTTTACTCTTTATTATTGTTTATATTTATGGGGAGCACCAAAACCTTTTAATTTAATTAGGGTTTCTGAAGATCGTAATCCGGCTCCGCTAGCAACTATTATGGGTTATAAGGCTGGCAGAGTTCAACATAAAATTGTTAGTACTGTATTAATCTGCCCAAAATGCTATGCGTGTTGTGGCTTTACAAGAATATAGAACACCAATGTTATCAAATCAAATCAAATCAAATGTTTATTTAGGTAAAAGTATATACATACAAGATGAGTTAATGCGTTCTTCCCTTCTTCTCTCGTGAAAATCCTCGGCTGGGACATGCCATCTGTAGCCTCGGCAGCTGGACCATTGCTGCTGCGGCGTCTTTGGTTGGACACTGCTAGATGTCAATTTCAGCAGCTGGGACATCGTCGGCTGGATACCTCCTTCTGGAGCCTCAGCTGCTGGAAACTCTTCAGCAGGGACATCAGGAGCTGGGGTTGGCCCCCAGGGGCATTCCCAGCTGGAACACCACCAGCTGTGTTATCAGCTGCTGTATCATCGGCTGGGACCTCAGCAGCTGGGCTTGGCCCCCCGGTGTCGTGCACATCTGGCACACCACCAGCTGGGCCTCACCCAGCGGCCGTAACGCTACCAGCTGGGCCCTCAGCTGCTGGATCATCGGCATGGACTACGTCAGCCGGCACATCAGCAGCCGAGTCTGGCCCGAGAAACAAACAATATATAATACATAAATTAGAGCGGAATATAAAGAATGACAAAATGTAAAGAACAGAAATCGTATATAAATAACGAGGGCGACTGTGCATGCTCAGCTGCAACACCATCAGCTGAGCCTTCGGCTGCTATTATTAGCTACGAGTAATTAATTAACGAGGGTAATTAATTAATGAGGGTACTGGGCGTCGTGGTTCACGTGTAGCAGGATGGCGGCGGAGTATTTTGTAGTGTGTCGTCTGGGGAGGAGCAGTGTCTTGGGCAGCAGTGTCTATATCTAGCCAAACACAATATACTTAGCTTTTGTCAATATGGCTTCAGACCCCAAAAAAGCACTAACGATGCACTTATTTGTATGATTAACTTGATACATACAGCTCTTGATAAAAATAAGTTCCCTGTTGGGTTATTTGTGGACCTACGTAAGGCTTTTGACGTACTGTCAACCACCAACACCTTCTTAAATTACATCATTATGGAGTCAGAGGACACTCCCTGCAATACCTCAAATCTTACCTTACTGACAGGCTCCAGTATGTTTGTGAATAATTCAATTTCTCTCACCCTTCCCATCAACATTGGTGTTCCCCAGGGCAGCATACTTGGCCCTCTTCTCTTTCTCATCTACATTAATGACCTTCCAAATGCCTCCCAACATCTCAAACCAATTCTTTTTGCTGACGACACGACCTTCATTTACTCCAGTCCTGACACCCTTGCTCTAAATGTCACAGTGAATACTGAGCTAAATAAAGTCCATCACTGGCTAACTGCCAACAAACTCACCCTCAACATTGACAAAACTTTCTATTTTCTGATCAGGGGGAAAAAGACACCGACAGTTTGGGGGCTTATTTATTAGTAAATTAAATTCTGCAGAACATGTAAATAATATAAGTAGGAATTAACAAATGTAACATGTCCATGTCTGAGTACTAATATTTAACTTAAAATGTACCCCCGTAGTAAGTAAGAGTAAGCTTAGCCTATAGTGACATGGCATACACGTTCTGCAGAAACCTAATGGCAGATGAAATGTAATTAGAACTAGGTATAACAGTCAGGACACAAAGGGGAAATAAAGTGAATAGATCACATATAACACTTAATGGAGCCCGATCAAGACATAATGGTAAATCCTAAAATTAACAGGCGGGCAGAAAATACCTAGTGACTGGAGAAAAACTGATATGACAATGGGAGAAGTTTTTCCCAGGGTGTGAGGCCGTGCCGCCAAGGAATAAGAAGGGTTTCCTGACTAAAGGTAGGGCTTACTAGCACCTAGACTGGGCAAAGTATTAGCTGCGGTCCGGCCAGCTGGCCGCAAGGAGGCCTCAGAGTGGCAGAGCAACAACGTCCCGCCTGACGTAGGAAGTAAAAGCGCTCGATCTCTTCCACCTGCCGACTGCCATTATCTCCGATTGGCGAGCCCATCTAGAGACAGCTGGGTGGCCCTGCCGATACGAAAGGAATGCGGGCGTAGTCAGATGGGGGTTCCAGCTGGATGCTGGACCCGCCATTATCTCCGTTGGCGAGCCCGTCAAGAGAGCTGAG